CCCCCCCGCAGTTTGCTGCACACTTGTTTTTCCTGGGACAGGTTCTCAGTCATGCCAAAATCGGGGAGTTTTGCCACAGAGTCCGGTGGAGCCCAGATTTCAGGGCTGATGTTTCACGGGAAACAATGATGATGATAAGATTCACCTCTTGCAAACGCTTACTAAAAATCACATGTCATCTTTAAGAGAAGCTGCCTGAGGGCTCTTAGCAAGACCTTAATGAGACTGGCCCTAGAATTGCTTCCTATTTTGTTCAGGCTGCTACAGGAAGCCTAAGAGCCATGTGTTGGGACTAGCTCTGCAGTTCTGATGCTGAAGGGGGATAGACCTAGGACCCTCCAGATGCTTAGCTTTGTTTTTTTCCTTATAAAGGATTATAGTTCTTTTTGCATGAGAAAGAGAAACTTCATAGAAATTAAACAGAGGTAGCAAAACAGCCAAGGAACAAGAAAAGTACTGGTAATAGAAGCCCACGGTAAGAAGAAACGGAGATTTTTGGAGAAAGTTGTGACTGAAGAAACTTGTAACTGCATCTCCTCCTACGGCTTGAATGGTACCATGTTCAGGGAAATGACACATTTGATACCTTCCTGGTAAACGTACAAGCTTTTGCCAATACAAATCCCAGCTCCATCGGCTCTTCTCCTGCTTATACCCAGACTTGACATTCACAGGTAGAGCAACGGGCTGTCTGCTGGGCTTGGTGAGTTTTCCATCTGGGGAAGACCCAGAAAAGCCCCTGTTCTCTATGCTGGTGTTACCTTCTGTGTGTAACTTCATTGAGCCATTTCCTTTCCTCATGGCACGGGCCTGGATGTGATTGTGATGGGAAGAGCAGGAGAGTAGATGTGGCAACCAAACAGCAAGACTGATCGGGCTATTTTTCCCCCTTCTCTCTCTGTGCACAGGATGCAATGGCACAGCTATTCCAAGCACATGCGCCTGGGCACATCATTGTACTTGGCTGAACCAGGATGTTTCCTGCTATGTTTCTGATACACGCAGAACAAAACTGCTGTCTCCATGACTTTGCTTTAGGAAGACACGTGAGGCTGTAACATACAGCAGCAACTTAGGAACTGAGCTTTGCCCCAGGAGAGCTCTGGAGTTTAAAGGTACTGCATGCTGAAAACACAAACACCTCAAGAGTTTCACAGCTGCAAATGCCAAGGCCAACAGCCAATGTGCTCATCGATCAGGCAGTGCAGGAGCCAAGAACCATCCATGTGTTGGCACAGTCCTGGCAACTGGTCATGATCTTGACTGATATTTTTGGGTTGATGACAAATAATTGATAAGTGGTAACTAAGATACAAGGAAATTGCAACACTGGCATTCAATAGAACCACAGGATTTATCAGAAGGATCCACGCCCTTTCATTCGCCCACACTGTGTATGGGGCAGATCCCTGTCCCGTTTCTGCACTTTACTTCCCCCATCTGTAAAGTGGAGTAATTCCCCAACTTCCAAAAAACAAATTGAGAGAAAATCCTTGATCTCTTGTAAACACAGGAGTATCATAATATCACATACTACTGATTGATTACTGTTTTTTATTATTGCTAGGTTATTATCAGATATCTCATGCAGTAAAACCTTATTTGATTTCTATTAATATTTCACAGCCACACAGGTAAATTCCAAAGGTCAATTTTTTAATGAGGTGCCTCACAAGATAAGGCTCGCACTGTTCTACTGTGTTCCTTTTGCACGTAGCCTGTGACAGAGATCAGTTATGTTACACTGGAGGGCGCAGTACTGCAATCTTTACATTTTTCGTTCATCAAAAGCAGTCTCACATCTGCTCCTTTCCCAGTTCAATGTGCAGTGCTATATTTGGGCCGTACCAGGAAGTGAGGCTGTGCACATGTGTGCAGTTCATTAACTGCATGCTCCTCCATAATTCATACAACTTAATACAAGAAAACAACATGATGAAAAGGTAGCAGGAAAAGAAATATATTACAAGTGGAAAAGTTCTGCTTCGGCATGTCTACCTGGAAAGTCAGAGTCCTGATGGCACTGTGCTTCTTGAGGCAGACTAGAGGTATGGTACAGCTGTCTTCTTTGTTACTTTTCATTTCGCTATGCTATGTGGCTTTGCTTGTAGGAGGAAAGACATATACAGGTAAATTTTAAGCAGTTTAAATGGGAATGATTCACATAAAGTGAAATATTCCACTGTAAAGAAATGGCAATTTAAAATCTGTCTGTAGAATGTGTCTTGTTGAAGGCTAGCGATGTACGTATTTACCTATCAGAAACAGTAAGTACCAGGAAAGTCCAAGTCACAAGCCTGCATGCTGCATCTCCTGCGTTCGTGGTAGGATCTGCCTTTGAAGAATTGGGATTGAATGAGTGGTGTGAGCCGGCTATGTCTGCCTCATCCAGGGGCTACGAGGTGGGAGCGCAAGGGAGTCAGGTTGGAGTTTGTGGGGTTGTAAACCAGGTCACAGTGAAATCCAGTGAGACCATGGGGGAAGTCACCCAAATTTTAGAATAGGATGGTTCACACAAATGTAGGTCCTAATTCTAAAAGCTGTTGAGATGAAGATGTTTTAAAAGAGATGAGGAAAACACGACTACATCACAGACATAGCTGCTTCCATAGCCAATTTCCAGTCTTAAATGAACTGAGCTGCTCTGCCCCAAATTTTGAAACCACCTTGGTCAAAACCAGGTGATATTTCCTATCCCCAAAGATATTTTAAATCATTCATGTAATGTTCCCTTTCAATCAGGTCATGTTCAACTTCCTCCTCCTCAAAATGTTACATTACTGTCAAAGGATTTTGACATGATTTTGACATGGACTCCAGGAGAAGGCTCTCCACCAGATGTGACATACACTGTGAGGTATGAAAGGTAAGCCCTTACAAAGGATGTCTGACTGAAAGTATGGCACAGGGCAAACATCTGTGCATTTATTAATCAATATCATTATGATCAGTGACCTGGCTGCGTCCTTTCACCTTTCACCAAAACCAATCCTTATCCGTCTGGAAAGTGCTCCAAACTCTGAGCAAGATTCGGTACCCATCCTCCAAAACACTTCCTTCTCTTGCTCTATCAATTATAATAAACCAGCATGTTTAATGTTATGGTGTGCTTGTTTCTTCTTTTAGCCAGGAACGCATGGACAAATGGATAAAGGTTCCTCATTGCAAAAATATTCGCAGTACCTCTTGCAATCTGACTTGTGTGCTTCCAAACTTCTTTGTTAAAGTCCGGGCTCGAGTAAAAGCTGTTTCTGGACGATTCCAGTCACCATGGGTAGAATCACAGTTCAAGGAATACTATTTGGATGGTGAGTGTCTGTTAGGTTACAGCCTGGGTGAAAGGACATCCCAACAACAGTGTTGGCATGAGCAAATGAGTAGATCACACACCACAGAAAGAGAAACAGTAACAAGCAGCTTTATGAATGACAGAGATTTGAGTGAGCACAAACAACAATGAGCCATGATCATTTGAAAATAAATTTTGTAGCAGGTGTCAGAATTTGTTCATCAGTGCTCTAGGTGAACAAACTGGTTTCAAGCTTTCCACATACCAGTGGGGGTATGTTAGATAAAAAAGAGGTATTCCTTTGCCTTCCTCCTTCCTTCATGTCTATCACAAATAACAGTCAGAAGTGTAGACCGGTCCACAGAAAAGCATTACTTCTGTGAAGCTAAGACACAAGCAAGCACTATTCTTATGTCTGATCACTCAATTACAGTGGAACTGGCTCCCCCAGTGCTAAATGTGAATGTAAAGAAGAACTTAATCCATGTGAATGCCTCCTTTCCTTTGGCCACCTGTGTGGAGAGTTTCTCTTGGATGTATGACTTGAACCTTTGGGAAGCTGGATCTGAAGACAAGGTCAGTAAAAGTGGTACTTCTTAGATGAAACAGAGGAACGATGCCCAGCTTGAATTGAAATAGCTTCAAATTTCTGGGCAGGGAGGGACTGGATCCAGGGCCTGGAGAAACTGAAATGGACAAACCAGAGTTAAACCAAAGACAGAGAAAAGAAGTAGATGTGTGTGAGTGCATCCTTATTTTATTGGTAGTTCCCTTTCCTATTCTATTTTTATCAGGAAGATGTGATGGGGAGGCTACACTATAGTCAGTATAATAGGGCAATATCTGAGGTTTAAAACAACTAGTTCAGGTACTGCTAACAGCATGCCATGGAAGCACAGAGCACAGCACGAGCTGGAAATCCCACCCTAGAATCCCTAAGCCCTAGGAGAGATGCTTGCTACAAACAGCAAGCAAGACATGAAGTGTCTCTCCATGCACCTTCTGACTACTGGAGCCACACAACATGATGAAGAGAATCATGGGCTAAAAAGGTAGAGAAACACCACTCAAATAATGAAAGAATCATCTTTCCAACTCTCTGTTCTTTTTGTTTCTAAACAGAAGCAATACGAAGGTATCTTTAGGAAGAATACAGTGACTATCGACACCACTGCACTTAGAGGCAACTACTGTTTAAGTGCCAGATCTTCCTTCCAAAGCATTGACTTCAAGCGCAGCAAATTCTCCCAACCAGTATGTGTGCTATTAAACCACAAAGGTATGTCCCTGTTGAGAAAAGGATGTGGTGAAACATCAAATGGGATTAGGGCAAGTCAAACATTTCCATCAAAATTAGCTTTCAACGAAAAAAAAAGTGCTTTCTGTTAAATGGATTAGTTGGATATTCTAGTGAAAGGTGTCTGCTTTCTATAGAAATGTTTTCATTTAAAAAATCCAACCCTGAAATATTTCCTGAAAATCCTGAAATGTTCTACTTGAGTTATGCTCACAATGAAATTTTGGGAATATTCAAATTTCTCCTGCATTTTACCTGCTCCAAGTAAGGCACTGGCTGGTATCAACGTTCATTTCTGTCTGTGACTCTGACTTAGATCTTAGGCAAGTCTGTTATCCTTTCCTTAATTTGTAAAATAAGGATCTTGAGCCTAACATTTTCTGAGATTTCTGAAAGAAAAGCTGAGTATAATAGCCCATTATTAGCATAAAATATACCACCAGCAGGAGATTATTTTTGTCTTTTTCTTTTTCAGCAGTGGAATGGAAGTTCCCATTTTCTGCCATGATCTCTGTGTTTGTGCTCCCCATCCTTCTGACAAGTGCCTTCATCATCTGCTTGCTGAAACAAGATGCTAAGCGAAAGAAGATGCCTCATGCTTTGGTATGGCCCAAATGTTGGGGTCCCCTCCTGACTCAGTCTTGCTGATCTTCAGAGGGTAACTGGGGAGGAGTGGGGGAGTTGCATGGGCTCTGCGCTTCTCAGTTTTGCATTCATAAGTCCCTTTATAAGTAAGCTTTGATTCTGGCATGTCCTATATCCAAACTTTTCTTTAAAAAGCATCACTAACTCACTGATCTGTGTGTCTTGTTTCTCTTTGCTGGTAGGATTTATCTCATTTAAAAGCTGCTGGACCAGCCTTTCACTGTGAGCCCAGTGAAAAGGAATTCTTCAGGGACACTCTTATCTGCACAGAGAAGCCAAAGTCACAAAGGAAGACAAACAAAACTTTAGCAAGAAACAACCTACCATGGATGGCTTCTTTCCTCTCATCATCATCATCAGAAGAGGAGGAAGAGGAAGAGGACAGCAGTACTTTCATCCCATACACTGAAATGGCTCAGTTTCCAAAGAGACATCTCATCTGTCAACCATCCAGAACAGCTCAGGAGGAAACTAGTTTGGACTCCGGATCTGGAGGTCTCTCTGTGGATAGTGAATCTGTGCTTGACCTAAGTACCTTGGGTTTTTCATTCTTTCCAATAAGAAAGAAAGAGGTGGACACCTCAGGATCCCAAGGAAAGGAGAAGGCATCCCTTTCTCACAGTTCCTCTTTGGGAAGAATATCCCTCACTGATGTGAGATTCCCAAGTCCCAGGGAACATGGACAGCATGATACAGACAGGGATGAATGCCTGGAAATGATCCCGCTTCAAACACTGATGGAGGGGATTTGTGCCAAACTTCCAGTCGATGAGCACTACCTGCATAGGAAGGCTCATCATTTCACCAAGTATTACCAGAAACCAACAGTTGATCTGCATGACCAGATCGGTGAGATATCACAGCTCAGTGAGGATCCCAGCACCGAGCTGCTCATTTCCTTTCAGACGTTACAAGTGGCAGAAGATGAAGGTATTGCAAGTGACTGTGACAGCGATAATTTTACAGAAGGGACACCTCCTGCATCCACGGTGCTAAGTGACGCATTTGAAACTTCAAATATGGAGGAAAAATATGATCAAAAGTTTAAATTCAAAGGCTACGAGCACACACATTACATGGGAAGGAGCTAGAGTACCCTACCAGTTCTGTGGCGTGCCTGGAAAATGCTAGAGAGCTCCAGATATCCAGGCAAGGATACCTAAACAAGAACAAGGACAAATAACTGATAGCAGTGCTTTTTGTATTTATTCACTTAGACAGAGTTTTTTTACTGATGTCTGGCCTATCAAGGCTTTAGGGACACAAAAGGTGTATTTTTATTGCTAAGTAACTAACGTACGTTCACCATCCCTCTGTACAAGTACAGCTGTGATAAGGTGTTAGGGCTCTGGTATGAGGCACACTATTCGAACCCAGCCAGGGGTGAGGCATGCAGTGATAACTCATGTAGGTGTCACACAGCAAACACGCAGTGCCTTGTGTTCACCTGAGACTTCAGAGCAAGGTAACTTTTACATGTGAGTTATGAAAGGCAAAAACACCTCTGAGACAGCAAAAACACAACCTGGACCTGTGTGAAACCATCAGCTGGGTTCTGAAAACACAGAGTGTTGTGCCTGCATGTTGATTTTGAGCCAGGATGAACTGCTAACATTACATTTGCTTCTCTGTAACTGCACAAGAAACTGCACCCCTGCTTGACTGGAAGTACCTTACAGAGACGTTTAACAACCTTTGCTTTTTGTGGGATGAAAAGATCTACACCTCAACCGACAGAGATCACCTTCTGTGTTTCAACAGAGCGAACTGAAGTCAAAATGATAAATGTGCAGCATGTTTGTTTATTTATTTATTTTTGTTTTTATACAAGTATACTTATTGACACTGAAATTCCCCCTGCTGTGCAGAATGTCTGAGAGCTGCTTTATGCAGAGGCAATAATATTTTGATATATAACTCTGTGTGTGTGTTTTTATGTTTCCCAGAATTACAAAGGGTGACTGCAGCTCATCCTGAAAAACATTACATTTTAAAACAGGACTTAATCATGGGCTTCCCATGCCGAATGCTTTGGTTTGAGTGGAATCCCATGAGACTTCCCAGCCAGGTTTCCTTCTGAGTCACTGAAAGACCAGGACTGTGACCATCTCTCTGAGCAAAGAATCAAATCAGAAGTCCACCAGCAAAAGGCACAGGAGAGACAAGGCCTCTCTTCACTGGTCAGTACTGACCTTTTCAGTGTATTTTTAATTTGCACTCTTCACATCTCACAGGAACATACTCTCCCATTTTATTCCAGTAAAAGGACACGTAGAAAAGCAAAGCATTAAAGGAAAGAGGGAGACACACAATAGCCATTCTCTGCATTCAGAAAGAGTTGTCTCAGATGAGGGAAGGGTGCTGATGGAGGGTATTAAAGCTGACATCTTCAGAGAATCAGAACATCAGAAAGAGGTAGAGGATGATAGGAGGGGTTGGGAACTGCTTTGAAAGAGGAAAGCAAGATGTACTAATTAAGGTCCTGAATTAAAGTAAAAAGGGGAGGTGGTAGAAAAGATTCATCAACTAGAATTTTCCTTTTTTTTCTCACCTGTCCTCCGCAAAGTGTCCTTAGGTACGTAGAATCATAGAATCATAGAATCATTAAGGTTGGAAAAGACCTCTAAGATCATCAAGTCCAACCGTCGACCCAACACCACCATGCCCACCAAAC